AAGTTAAAATCATAAGTAATATTCAACGTTAAAACTGGTATAGAATTAAAAACATTTTATTTAGGCCTATCTATGGCCTTCAAAAAGTTGACTCTGACGATGACGTTGCAGCCTTCAAACATCAAAATCGTCAACTTTTTGAAGGCCATAGATAGGCCTAAATAAAATGTTTTTAATTGTGTACCAATTTTAACGTTGAATATTGTTTATGATTTTAATCTTAAGTCATGTTTAGATTACAACTCTATATCTCATATGACTAGATAAATTTTAGAAACGTACATGATACATTTGGCTGACAAAGTTCTTTAACTTATCTTGCATTAACAGCTTAATAAATCTCCATACCTAGACAAACTAGTAATATTTCTGATGCACTTGGATATCAAAGTTATTTAACTCATATTTTGCTGGAATTTATAAATGATCGCACCCAAACAATAATTCATGATTTAAGAGCTATTAGTTTATTCATTTTTAAGATATCAGGTATAAATTAGTGATGTATTTAATTGGCGCAAAAATAGGTCAAATTCAGGCTCGGGTCATGTTTCTTGCTTTTAAAAGTTTATTGTTACGAGTTTTTCTTTTTCTTGTAGAGAAGCGCTGGATCTAATGGTGAATTACTTTTATCATTGGTAAATCAGTTACCAGACACGTGTTTGCGAAAATTGCCAATGAAATAAGTCCCGCTTCTTTTTTTACTAATTTCTCAAGATTAAATTTCTCTGTGACGTATTTCTTTATTTTAAAAGATGGAAGCTTGTTTTTTTTATTTGTTTGTTAGTAATTTCGCGCAAAGCTACACGAGGGCTATCTGCGCTAGCCGTCCCTAATTTAGCAGGGAAAGGCAGTTAGTCATCACCACCCACCGCCAACTCGTGGGCTACTCTTTTACGAACAAATAGTGGGAGAATGTTTGGTGGGACACCCTAACCACCTGACCATGCCAGGCCTTTATATTTTAAAAGATAGACTCCTGTAAACCGTAACAAAACATAATATTATACATTGTATATAATGCTTTTCTTAAACTATGAAAATCTGAAAGAAAATATCGTCTCAAATAACTTACAAAAGCTGAATAGTTTCTTATAAATTTAGATAGAGTAATACATTTCATAGGTTGGATGTTTCCTTACTTCTTTACATATTATAATACAAAGTAGAACTTGGAGGCTTTTATATTTCGTGATTTACGGTAGTAAATTCCAGAAGATAGAAATTTTATTGTCCTTTAACTTTGATAATAAGATACAGAAATTAAAAAGTTTATAATCGTTTCTCATATGATAGCACATAACACTTGGAGTTTTCATGTGGCATCACGAGAAAAATATTGTAAATTCTCACTTCATTCTGTTTCTTTTAGATATATGGCCAGCAGAAATTTTAATCTCCAGATGTATGATTAGTAGAACATTTTAATCTTCATATGTATGACCAGTAGAACATTTCAATCTTTAGATGGATGACCAGTAGAATATTTTAATCTTTAGATGTATGACCAGTAGAATATTTTAATCTTTAGATGTATGACCAGTAGAATATTTTAATCTTTAGATGTATGACCAGTAGAACATTTTAATCTTCAGATGTCTGACCAGTAGAACATTTTAATCTTTAGATGTATGACCAGTAGAATATTTTAATCTTTAGATGTATGATCAGTAGAACATTTTAATCTTCAGATGTATGATCAGTAGAACATTTTAATCTTCAGATGTATGATCAGTAGAACATTTTAATCTTCAGATGTATGATCAGTAGAACATTTTAATCTTCAGATGTATGATCAATAGAACATTTTAATCTTCAGATGTATGACCAGTAAAACATTTTAATCTTCAGATGTATGACCAGTGGAACATTTTAATCTTCAGATGTATGATCAGTAGAATATTTTAATCTTCAGATGTATGATCAGTAGAACATTTTAATCTTCAGATGTATGACCAGTAGAACATTTTAATCTTTAGATGTATGACCAGTAGAACATTTTAATCTTTAGATGTATGATCAGTAACACATTTTAATCTTCAGATGTATGACCGGCAGAACATTTTAATCTTCAGATGTATGATCAGTAGAACATTTTGATCTTCAGATGTATGACCAGTAAAACATTTTAATCTTCAGATGTATGACCAGTAGAATATTTTAATCTTAAGATATCAATAGAGCATTTTCCTTCTTCTGGACTAATTCAAGATTAATTGAATTTTTACTTGTATAAGTAGATTTCAGTTATATTAGCTCTCTTTCTATTTAAACTTCGACAACGTTATTTTTAATGTCACATATTAGTAAATTTCGATATTTATTGAAAATACTTGTCCAAGTCTAAAATAAATAGATTACGTTAATTCTAAAACGTTAGAACAATACGTGATACAGTATAATACGTTGGAATTCGCACAACTTGATTTTGTATGTACTGTTAAATATTTTAAGTTACTTAACTGTTAAGATTTTAAAACAAAATATTTGCAATCTTTTCTATTTTATGCTGCAGGGAATAAAAGTAAGTAATTTTGACTTATTTACTCTTAAATACGTTTAAAATACGTATTTTAACACAACAGTTTTCTGGTGTTTTTCTTTTAATCATCATCTTTCTTTGTAATCATCTTCATGTTTAACTGGATATATTTCTATATTATCTTCTTCGGTCTGTGAAATATTCATACTGGTTTATGTGCTAGATAAAAAGGGAATATTTTGATAATAGCTGTAAATAACTAAATAATATTTCAAACTAATTTCCCTTGAAGAAAAAGTTACTGTTAAAGTCTTTATTTCATACCATTAATGCTTGTTGTTTTTATTACAGAAATTTGAAAAACAACACCATATTACTTCATCGTAATATTGGCTGAATTAATACTTTATGTAGAATATTTAATAAAACTTAGACTAAAATAAAGCAATCTAAAGGTTGAATTTTTGTTAGGTTGTTACAATGTATTTGATATATATATATATATAATTTTTATTTTGTTTTTATCGTCTGCTCGCGGATTTCTTAGATGGTAAGTGTTCACACTTCTCTTCTTTAAACTACTAACATTAAACCTTTTAATTCAGAACGTATCTGAACATCTGTATCATTCATAAAACGTGATTTTTTTTCCTGCTGTTACTGAGTCTGCTGTGTTACTAACTTTGTTGTGTTGCTTATTTTGAGTTACTGATTTTTTGTGTAAGAATACAAGTTAGTACAAGCGGTTGTTCAAGCTTTTTTATTTTGAAAATAACTTTTTCTACGTAGCCAAAAGAAACTGTGTGAGATAACAGAGGGCTGATGATTTTAATTAAACTCAATGTTTGTTTTTTTTCTATTTTAATGCTCTCATATCCAGATGTGTCGGGTAAGTTTCATCAGTTAATCCATTATTTACAAAAACTGAAATCTTTTGTTACAGTTTGATTCTACTTTGGGTTATTTACATTAAGTTGTGACATCCACTTACTTTATCAGTTAGTAATTCTACCTCAGAGCTCAGATGTTTAAATTATTATTTAATTAATTTGACATTTTGTTCGTTTCTTATATATAGGATTATTTTATTGGCTATACAGTTTTTTATTACCAACTCTGGGTTATTGGTCTGTTGATCAACTATAGCAGAAATTACTGTTCTCATTTTCAAAGTAAAATGTCGAGCAAATAGTTTGCTACAAGATATTGTACGAATTTGGTATTTAATTGTATCCTATTCGTTATCCTTCCGTTATCATTATTAATAACAGACCTCAATAATGAAATCAAACACTTTGAAGGACATTTTTATTTCAACGAAATAGCTACATACTTCGTTTCATGTTTGCCGTTACATTTTAGTAAATTAATACAAATGTGAAGTAGTAAAATACTTTGTTTCTGACACTCACTCAAAGTTCAACGGCTAGCTGTCCCTAATTTTGAAGTGATAGACGAGAGAGAGAAAGCAGCTACTGATAAAGTACTAAAAATAAATCACAATCTACTTGGTAACTCAGCGGTAGGTCTGAGGGCTTATAAAGCTCAAAATTGGGGTTCGATACCTGTGGTGAGCACAGCATATTATGTAGCTTTGTTTTTCACAATAAACAAACAAAACTAAATAAACACGTATGTTTGCAATAATCATTCTAATTCTCATAAGTTTCTTATTCACTTTATACGGATTTTTCTTAATTACTCACAAAAGATGAAAATATAAAAGTTTCGCTTTTTTCTAAACTATTTTCAAAATCCAAAAGACTGAATCTATCGTAACAAGTTGAATTTAAGAAGCTTCTTATCTCGCACCACCTACTTTAGGACTATGTTCACGAAGGTGTTATATTTTATTAAGTCGTTCGTGACTGTGGACAAACGTAACAACAATCGAAGTCTGAAATGTTTCCTCTGATTAATGGGTGGGGTTTGAGATAAATACTAAATATTTCCTTCACAGCTAATCTTAGGCCTAGTTCGTGACTTCCGCGTGTCGTTTACTGAAACAAAATCAATTGCTGTAAAGTAATTAAAACGAAAGTATTTGAATACGTCATTAGTATGCGTCAGGTATTTAATTATATTCCTGGAAGAGGTCGAAATTTCTTTCATGGATAATTTAATTTTGATACAATAATTATCTATTTTCTTCAACACAAGTACAGATAAAAGTTTTCTGAAGTAACGGTTATCAATGTTTTAATTCATTATTATTAAAATGGAATACAAATACACTTAGCACTATCAAACTGAGAAATGCATGTTATATTAAACATCTACACACGTAATTTGTATAATGAGACAGGTTCTATGGATATCATGAACGATTTATTAGAACAGCAAACAATTTTATCACACACCTGTAGAAAAATGTGTAATTCAGCATTTCACATATAACAATAAAACCATACCCAAACATGTATAATGACAAAATATAACATCAAATTATAAAAAATAGCGTCTGTTACTTAATATCACTTCTTATTAAACATTCAGTATCTGGTTGGTTCTCCTCGTACTATAATAACGTCCACAAGGCGATGTGGCATGCTGTCCATCAGGTTATTGATGTAATCCACCGCTGAAACTCAGCTACAATAGGTACAATGTACGTATTGTACAGGATTATCTCGACCAGAAGGACTTACAAGATTGCTATGACCAGATTTTAATTCCATAACTTTTCCGGAAAATTGCTAATCACGACGCTAAAACACCTATTGTAGCTGAGTTTCAGCGGTGGATTACATCAATAACCTGATGGGAAGTGGCATTGTCATCTTGGAACACAAAGTTATTATCAAACCTTGCCTTAGCATATGGCACAAATATCGTCTCCATGTGATGCCTATAGGAGGCACCATTGACGTTTCCCTGAAGAACATGAAGAGCAGTTTTTCCATCATAATGAATAGCCGCCAAAACATGTACTGCACCGCTTCCTGTGTGTTCTCTGTGGAAAAGACAGTCTTCCCTCATCTGTTCTCCAGGCAAACGACGAACATGAATCCTACCATCAGCTTTAACAAGCCGAAAACATGACTCATCTGAAAAGATGGCACGTCGCCAGTGTCCTAACTGTAAGTTATAATGCTGTCTTGTTCATGTAACATGATGACAGTGGTTAATATCGGTTTGCAGATATCCCTTCTTGACAAAATAGCGTTTTTTGGGTAGTCTCCTATTCATTTTTCTTCTGGATACTCTGGGATGAATGTCTTCTTGCCATTCCGCTCGTAAGGTGTTGAAAGACTTTTTTCGATCTTCACCTGTGAACCTGATCAAAACACGGTCATCTCGAGCAGTAGTTATTCGGCGTCTACCAGTAGATTTTTCTGGAACAACGTTTCCTATAGTCCGATGACGTTTCAGGATTCTGGATGCAGTACAGTGGGAGTACCCTATTGTTCTGGAAAGGTACGTTTGCTTTACACCATTTCTGGACAGTCGAACAATTAAAACTTCTGGCACGTGACGTGGCATGAATATTTTATATCACAATCCCACCCTTTTATACAAAACAGGTGTCTATATGTGTTTTAACGAACAACTGATGAAAACAACTTATACAGACCAGAATAACAACTCGTACATGTTTGTCTGATCATACACTACCTTCTCGGTTACTACTCGGACATTTACTCAATAACTACTCCATGCTTGTAGACAATAACATCAATATAGAACAGAATGCAAACATTTTGGCCAAGACTGTAATAGTACTAAAAAAAATCGCACTGCGCACTTTGAGGTTGTGGGTACGTTATAGGGCTGACAGTCAGATTCCATTACTCAGTCTGACAAGAGTAGACCAAGACAAGAATATTAGGTGGTGTCATTCCTCTAGTTTATTAGTTCAAAATTAGAGACAGTCTTTGATTAACAAAAACGACAAAAAATTAACCAAAAAAAAACGATATATTATCAAATATTTTATACAGTATCATCACGTGCTCATTGTTACGTTCATATCTTCATTGTTATGGTCATGTTGTCCTGCGTGTAAAAAAAAAAACACGTGTTTCCTAATAGAGTTGTATGTTTCTTGTTTTACTGAGGTAGCAGCTCATAGAAACAAAATCTTTGGTTCTAAAAATGCAATATTATATTTTGTAAAGCAAAGCTGACTACAGTTTCTGTGTAAGAAGATAAACATATATCAGGAGACCGAAACGGCGTGTTTCGGTATAACACTACAGTTATCTTCATCGTACTCAGACAATCAATTTTTTTAGTGTAAAGTGTTTATATAGCTCGTGTAATTATGACATACGTGTACATGATTTTTAAAGTATCTTCACGTTTCTTTCATGCCACCAACCAGATGGATCCAAGGGTAAGATAACTATGAATAATAGATACGTTTATCATCCTAGTCATCCCTACACGTTACGTGTCCTATCTAAATACGTTTATTCATCCTACACGTTACGTATCCTATCTAAATACGTTTATCATCCTAGTAAGTTCATCCCTACACGTTACGTGTCCTATCTAAATACGTTTATCATCCTAGTAAGTCCATCCGTACATGTTACGTATCCTATCTAAATACGTTTATCATCCTAGTAAGTCCATCCGTACACGTTACGTGTTATCTAAATAAGTGTATCATCCCTACACGTTACGTGTCTTATCTAAATACGTTTATCATCCTACACGTTACGTGTCATATCTAAATACGTTTATCATCCTAGTAAGTTCATCCCTACACGTTACGTGTCTTGTCTAAATACGTTTATCATCCCTACACGTTACGTGTCCTATCTAAATACGTTTATCATCCTAGTAAGTTCATCCTACACGTTACGTATCCTATCTAAATACGTTTATCATCCCACGCGTACCACTAAGTTCATCCATAGACGTACAACTTGTTTGATTTCCAAAGTAACATTACTTTACGTACATCAAGCGATATTTACTTTAAATTACTTTTTTTACGAATATCTTTTTACTGAAAACATAATGTTCAATATAATTATTCCTTACGTGTCATTTACAGATTGGTTTCTTTATTTCTGTTTCATTCATTTGGTTCGAATTCCTCAACTAAGAATTTTATATTCTCTTACAGAACTGTGCCGGGGTAAGTGTTATGTTTCATCTCTTTATTACACCATGGGGGTAAGTGTTATGTTTCATCTCTTTATTACACCATGGAGATAAGTGTTATGTTTCATCTCTTTATTACACCATGGGGGTAAGTGTTATGTTTCATCTCTTTATTACACCATGGGGGTAAGTGTTATGTTTCATCTCTTTATTACACCATGGGGGGTAAGTGTTATGTTTCATCTCTTTATTGCACCATGGGGGTAGGTGTTATATTTCGTTTCGTTGTTAAATCAACATATGATTAACATTTACTAAAGTTAGATACTATATATGAAAAAAACGTTTTATTTGTTGTTATTGTTGTTTTATTTTAATAAAGTGTCAAAGTGTGTGTGTGGTTAAAAAGACCGATGCTGCCACCTGTCTGATTTTAGAGACGACAAATTAATCCTCGTCTTATATAAAATGTATTTCAGCCGTAGTCTAAGCTAAGTATCAAAAACACGCTCGGCATGAGACGACTAACAACAGTGGCACAGAAACCCAACACCACAAACGTTTCCGTTTGTATGTCACTAATCAAATTGTTTCTCAGTCTTAGTTTACTCGAATGTTGTAATGTTGGAAAACTCGACACGCTTAATAACCCGCCGGCACGTGTCTGTACAGGTTGTCTATCGAATAATGGGTTTCAGGTTCTCAGATTTTTTTTTTTTAAAAACCTCTTTAAGTAAAGGTTTATCAAATTACACAATGGTTTGTTGAAAATGTATTATTCATCAAAATATGAATTGATCTTTTTTTTTTTTTTGCAGGTACAACATTTCCTGAAGAAATCAAAGGTACGTCAACCAGTACTTCCAACTTTTTTATAATCTTATAATCAGGTAGACGAAGATATTTATTTTACTCTTATTTGGTTAAAGGTTTAATCCCTGAAGAGTAAGATGCCCTCCTGAAGTTCGACGGTAAATCTGCAGGCTTACAACGCTAAAAACCTGGTTTCGATACCCGCTATGGGCAGAGCACAGATAGTCCATGGTTTAGCTTTGTCCTAAAAAATGACCAAAGCCGCTTACTTAGTGTTTCTCTTTCTTATGTTAGCAATTAACATAGTGTACCACCCCTTCATCTACCCACAGGTGTTCATAAACTAACCCCCCTGATCCCCCGTGTTTAACACAGTATACCACTCCTTCATCTACCCGCAGGTGTTCATAAACTAACCCCCCTGAATCCCCCTCTTTAACATAGTGTACCACTCCCTTACACAACCACAGGCGTTCATAAACTAACCCCCTGAATCCCCCTCTTTAACATAGTGTACCACTCCCTTACACAACCACAGGCGTTCATAAACTAACCCCCTGAATCCCCCTCTTTAACATAGTGTACCACTCCCTTACA